TCAAACATCCATGATTTGTTTGTATCGTGCATCCATCAGGAGCATTGTGCGATCAATACAGTGATGTGTTTGAGTGCTGCTGCTGCTTGATAACGGTGTTTGCATGTGTTCGTGTGTCAACTGGTCAGCTTTCCCATATAGTCTAGGCGGTTAGGATAGCTGGCTCTCACCCAGCAGAACACCCGGGTTCGAGTTCCGGTGTGGGAACATCTTTGCTTGCATGACACCGTTCATCTTTCTAGCTGTGGACTTGATGAAATAGAAGTACGACAACGTGATTTGGTGACCACTTTGTACTGGGAAGCTATGTTCATCAGCATCTTCGTCGGTACATCATGCGATGATCGTGTAACACTCAAGCTAGCATGCGACTTCTGCGATGGACAAACCGAGTGCACTATGGGTGTGGTGTTTCCGCCTCGTGAATAGGCTGTCGTACTCTGAGACCGTATGGCAGCTTTCGTAGTGTTTGCGTCCGAAGTAGCATCGATATGGATACGAAATACGCAACGCAAATGTGACCTGAAAAGGAGTATGGTGGATTCAAGCATCCATGATTTGTTTGTATCGTGCATCCATCAGGAGCATTGTGCGATCAATACGGTGATGTGTTTGAGTGCTGCTGCTTGGTAGCGAGTGTTTGTACGCGTTAGTGTGTCAACTGGTCAGCTTTCCCATATAGTCTAGGCGGTTAGGATAGCTGGCTCTCACCCAGCAGACCCGGGTTCGAGTCCCGGTGTGGGAACATCTTTGCTTGCATGATACCGTTCTTGTTTCCAGCTGCAGTCTTGATGAAAAAGAAGTACGACAACGTGATTCAGTGACCGCTTCGTACTGGGAAGCTATGTTCATCAGCATCTTCGTCGGTACATAATGCGATGATTGTGTAACACTCAAGCTGGCATGCGACTTAGGCGATGGAAAAACCGAGTGCACTATGGGTGTGGTGTTTCCGCCTCGTGAATAGGCTGTCGTACGCTCAGACCTTATGACAGCTTTCGTGGTGTTTGCGTCCGAAGTAGCATCGATATGGATACGAAATACGCAACGCAAATGTGACCTGAAAAGGAGTATGGTGGATTCAAGCATCCATGATTTGTTTGTATCGTGCATCCATCAGGAGCATTGTGCGATCATTACGGTGATGTGTTTGAGTGATGCTGCTTGATAGCGAGTGTTTGTATGCGTTCGTGTGTCAACTGGTCAGCTTTCCCATATAGTCTAGGCGGTTAGGATAGCTGGCTTTCACCCAGCAGACCCGCGTTCGAGTCCCGGTGTGGGAACATCTTTGCTTGCATGATACCGTTCTTGTTTCCAGCTGCAGTCTTGATGAAACAGAAGTACGACAACGTGATTCAGTGACCACTTCGTACTGGGAAGCTATGTTCATCAGCATCTTCGTCGGTACATAATGCGATGATTGTGTAACACTCAAGCTGGCATGCGACTTAGGCGATGGAAAAACCGAGTGCACTATGGGTGTGGTGTTTCCGCCTCGTGAATAGGCTTTCGTACGCTCAGACCTTATGACAGCTTTCGTGGTGTTTGCGTCCGAAGTAGCATCGATATGGATACGAAATACGCAACGCGAATGTGACCTGAAAGGAGTATGGTGGATTCAAGCATCCATGATTTGTTTGTATCGTGCATCCATCAGGAGCATTGTGCGATCAATACGGTGATGTGTTTGAGTGCTGCTGCTTGGTAGCGAGTGTTTGTACGCGTTAGTGTGTCAACTGGTCAGCTTTCCCATATAGTCTAGGCGGTTAGGATAGCTGGCTCTCACCCAGCAGACCCGGGTTCGAGTCCCGGTGTGGGAACATCTTTGCTTGCATGATACCGTTCTTGTTTCCAGCTGCAGTCTTGATGAAAAAGAAGTACGACAGCATGATTCAGTGACCGCTTCGTACTGGGAAGCTATGTTCATCAGCATCTTCGTCGGTACATCACGCGATTATTGTGTAACACTCAAGCTGGCATGCGACTTAGGCGATGGAAAAACCGAGTGCACTATGGGTGTGGTGTTTCCGCCTCGTGAATAGGCTGTCGTACGCTCAGACCTTATGACAGCTTTCGTGGTGTTTGCGTCCGAAGTAGCATCGATATGGATACGAAATACGCAACGCAAATGTGACCTGAAAAGGAGTATGGTGGATTCAAGCATCCATGATTTGTTTGTATCGTGCATCCATCAGGAGCATTGTGCGATCAATACAGTGATGTGTTTGAGTGCTGCTGCTGCTTGATAACGGTGTTTGTACGCGTTAGTGTGTCAACTGGTCAGCTTTCCCATATAGTCTAGGCGGTTAGGATAGCTGGCTCTCACCCAGCAGACCCGGGTTCGAGTCGCGGTGTGGGAATATCTTTGCTTGCATGATACCGTTCTTGTTTCCAGCTGCAGTCTTGATGAAAAAGAAGTACGACAGCATGATTCAGTGACCACTTCGTACTGGGAAGCTATGTTCATCAGCATCTTCGTCGGTACATAATGCGATGATTGTGTAACACTCAAGCTGGCATGCGACTTAGGCGATGGAAAAACCGAGTGCACTATGGGTGTGGTGTTTCCGCCTCGTGAATAGGCTGTCGTACGCTCAGACCTTATGACAGCTTTCGTGGTGTTTGCGTCCGAAGTAGCATCGATATGGATACGAAATACGCAACGCAAATGTGACCTGAAAAGGAGTATGGTGGATTCAAGCATCCATGATTTGTTTGTATCGTGCATCCATCAGGAGCATTGTGCGATCAATACGGTGATGTGTTTGAGTGCTGCTGCTTGGTAGCGGTGTTTGTACGCGTTAGTGTGTCAACTGATCAGCTTTCCCATATAGTCTAGGCGGTTAGGATAGCTGGCTCTCACCCAGCAGACCCGGGTTCGAGTCCCGGTGTGGGAACATCTTTGCTTGCATGATACCGTTCTTGTTTCCAGCTGCAGTCTTGATGAAAAAGAAGTACGACAGCATGATTCAGTGACCGCTTCGTACTGGGAAGCTATGTTCATCAGCATCTTCGTCGGTACATCACGCGATGATTGTGTAACACTCAAGCTGGCATGCGACTTAGGCGATGGAAAAACCGAGTGCACTATGGGTGTGGTGTTTCCGCCTCGTGAATAGGCTGTCGTACGCTCAGACCTTATGACAGCTTTCGTGGTGTTTGCGTCCGAAGTAGCATCGATATGGATACGAAATACGCAACGCAAATGTGACCTGAAAAGGAGTATGGTGGATTCAAGCATCCATGATTTGTTTGTATCGTGCATCCATCAGGAGCATTGTGCGATCAATACAGTGATGTGTTTGAGTGCTGCTGCTGCTTGATAACGGTGTTTGTACGCGTTAGTGTGTCAACTGGTCAGCTTTCCCATATAGTCTAGGCGGTTAGGATAGCTGGCTCTCACCCAGCAGACCCGGGTTCGAGTCGCGGTGTGGGAATATCTTTGCTTGCATGATACCGTTCTTGTTTCCAGCTGCAGTCTTGATGAAAAAGAAGTACGACAGCATGATTCAGTGACCACTTCGTACTGGGAAGCTATGTTCATCAGCATCTTCGTCGGTACATAATGCGATGATTGTGTAACACTCAAGCTGGCATGCGACTTAGGCGATGGAAAAACCGAGTGCACTATGGGTGTGGTGTTTCCGCCTCGTGAATAGGCTGTCGTACGCTCAGACCTTATGACAGCTTTCGTGGTGTTTGCGTCCGAAGTAGCATCGATATGGATACGAAATACGCAACGCAAATGTGACCTGAAAAGGAGTATGGTGGATTCAAGCATCCATGATTTGTTTGTATCGTGCATCCATCAGGAGCATTGTGCGATCAATACAGTGATGTGTTTGAGTGCTGCTGCTGCTTGATAACGGTGTTTGTACGCGTTAGTGTGTCAACTGATCAGCTTTCCCATATAGTCTAGGCGGTTAGGATAGCTGGCTCTCACCCAGCAGACCCGGGTTCGAGTCCCGGTGTGGGAACATCTTTGCTTGCATGATACCGTTCTTGTTTCCAGCTGCAGTCTTGATGAAAAAGAAGTACGACAGCATGATTCAGTGACCGCTTCGTACTGGGAAGCTATGTTCATCAGCATCTTCGTCGGTACATCACGCGATGATTGTGTAACACTCAAGCTGGCATGCGACTTAGGCGATGGAAAAACCGAGTGCACTATGGGTGTGGTGTTTCCGCCTCGTGAATAGGCTGTCGTACGCTCAGACCTTATGACAGCTTTCGTGGTGTTTGCGTCCGAAGTAGCATCGATATGGATACGAAATACGCAACGCAAATGTGACCTGAAAAGGAGTATGGTGGATTCAAGCATCCATGATTTGTTTGTATCGTGCATCCATCAGGAGCATTGTGCGATCAATACAGTGATGTGTTTGAGTGCTGCTGCTGCTTGATAACGGTGTTTGTACGCGTTAGTGTGTCAACTGGTCAGCTTTCCCATATAGTCTAGGCGGTTAGGATAGCTGGCTCTCACCCAGCAGACCCGGGTTCGAGTCGCGGTGTGGGAATATCTTTGCTTGCATGATACCGTTCTTGTTTCCAGCTGCAGTCTTGATGAAAAAGAAGTACGACAGCATGATTCAGTGACCACTTCGTACTGGGAAGCTATGTTCATCAGCATCTTCGTCGGTACACAATGCGATGATTGTGTAACACTCAAGCTGGCATGCAACGTCGGCGATGGAAAAACCGAGTGCACTATGGGTGTGGTGTTTCCGCCTCGTGAATAGGCTGTCGTACGCTCAGACCTTATGACAGCTTTCGTGGTGTTTGCGTCCGAAGTAGCATCGATATGGATACGAAATACGCAACGCAAATGTGACCTGAAAAGGAGTATGGTGGATTCAAGCATCCATGATTTGTTTGTATCGTGCATCCATCAGGAGCATTGTGCGATCAATACGGTGATGTGTTTGAGTGCTGCTGCTTGGTAGCGGTGTTTGTACGCGTTAGTGTGTCAACTGGTCAGCTTTCCCATATAGTCTAGGCGGTTAGGATAGCTGGCTCTCACCCAGCAGGCCCGGGTTCGAGTCGCGGTGTGGGAACATCTTTGCTTGCATGATACCGTTCTTGTTTCCAGCTGCAGTCTTGATGAAAAAGAAGTACGACAGCATGATTCAGTGACCGCTTCGTACTGGGAAGCTATGTTCATCAGCATCTTCGTCGGTACATCACGCGATGATTGTGTAACACTCAAGCTGGCATGCGACTTAGGCGATGGAAAAACCGAGTGCACTATGGGTGTGGTGTTTCCGCCTCGTGAATAGGCTGTCGTACGCTCAGACCTTATGACAGCTTTCGTGGTGTTTGCGTCCGAAGTAGCATCGATATGGATACGAAATACGCAACGCAAATGTGACCTGAAAAGGAGTATGGTGGATTCAAGCATCCATGATTTGTTTGTATCGTGCATCCATCAGGAGCATTGTGCGATCAATACGGTGATGTGTTTGAGTGCTGCTGCTTGATAGCGAGTGTTTGCATGTGTTCGTGTGTCAACTGGTCAGCTTTCCCATATAGTCTAGGCGGTTAGGATAGCTGGCTTTCACCCAGCAGACCCGCGTTCGAGTCCCGGTGTGGGAACATCTTTGCTTGCATGATACCGTTCTTCTTTCTAGCTGCAGTCTTGATGAAACAGAAGTACGACAACGTGATTCAGTGACCACTTCGTACTGGGAAGCTATGTTCATCAGCATCCTCGTCGGTACATCACGCGATGATCGTGTAACACTCAAGCTGGCATGCGACTTCGGCGGTGGACAAACCGAGTGCACTATGGGTGTGGTGTTTCCGCCTCGTGAATAGGCTGTCGTAAGATCAGACCGTATGGCAGCTTTCGTAGTGTTTGCGTCCGAAGTAGCATCGATATGGATACATAACACGCAACGCAAATGTGACCTGAAAAGGAGTATGGTGGATTCAAGCATCTACGATTTGTTTGTATCGTGCATCCATCAGGAGCATTGTGCGATCAATACGGTGATGTGTTTGAGTGCTGCTGCTTGATAACGGTGTTTGTACGCGTTAGTGTGCCAACTGGTCAGCCCATCATATAGTCTAGGCGGTTAGGATAGCTGGCTCTCACCCAGCAGACCCGGGTTCGAGTCCCGGTGTGGGAACATCTTTGCTTGCATGATACCGTTCTTCTTTCTAGCTGCAGTCTTGATGAAACAGAAATACGACAACGTGATTTAGTGACCACTTCGTACTGGGAAGCTATGTTCATCAGCATCTTCGTCGGTACATCACGCGATGATTGTGTAACACTCAAGCTGGCATGCGACTTAGGCGATGGAAAAACCGAGTGCACTATGGGTGTGGTGTTTCCGCCTCGTGAATAGGCTGTCGTACGCTCAGACCTTATGACAGCTTTCGTGGTGTTTGCGTCCGAAGTAGCATCGATATGGATACGAAATACGCAACGCAAATGTGACCTGAAAAGGAGTATGGTGGATTCAAGCATCCATGATTTGTTTGTATCGTGCATCCATCAGGAGCATTGTGCGATCAATACGGTGATGTGTTTGAGTGCTGCTGCTTGATAGCGAGTGTTTGCATGTGTTCGTGTGCCAACTGGTCAGCTTTCCCATATAGTCTAGGCGGTTAGGATAGCTGGCTTTCACCCAGCAGACCCGCGTTCGAGTCCCGGTGTGGGAACATCTTTGCTTGCATGATACCGTTCTTGTTTCCAGCTGCAGTCTTGATGAAACAGAAGTACGACAACGTGATTCAGTGACCACTTCGTACTGGGAAGCTATGTTCATCAGCATCTTCGTCGGTACATAATGCGATGATTGTGTAACACTCAAGCTGGCATGCGACTTAGGCGATGGAAAAACCGAGTGCACTATGGGTGTGGTGTTTCCGCCTCGTGAATAGGCTGTCGTACGCTCAGACCTTATGACAGCTTTCGTGGTGTTTGCGTCCGAAGTAGCATCGATATGGATACGAAATACGCAACGCAAATGTGACCTGAAAAGGAGTATGGTGGATTCAAGCATCCATGATTTGTTTGTATCGTGCATCCATCAGGAGCATTGTGCGATCAATACGGTGATGTGTTTGAGTGCTGCTGCTTGGTAGCGGTGTTTGTACGCGTTAGTGTGTCAACTGATCAGCTTTCCCATATAGTCTAGGCGGTTAGGATAGCTGGCTCTCACCCAGCAGACCCGGGTTCGAGTCCCGGTGCGAGATCATCTTTGCTTGCATGACACCGTTCATCTTTCTAGCTGTGGACTTGATGAAATAGAAGTACAAAAACTTGATTCGGTGACCACTTCGTACTGGGAAGCTATGTTCATCAGCATCCTCGTCGGTACATCACGCGATGATCGTGTAACACTCAAGCTGGCATGCGACTTCTGTTAGCGAGTGATGATGCGGCTTTTTGTGCAGGGTGTATATTGCATATTTGCATTAGTTGTATTGTTCTTTGGCAGGTTTATATTGTGGGATGTTAGCGAAACGACAAGTCATCGGATTGGCTCAGTCGTTTGGGAAGGGGGATTCCACGCGGGTGAGTGCGGGTTCGATCCCCGCCGTGTACAAGTTAATTGTGACTGACACTCACGACCTGGTGTTTGGGGTTCACCAGAACTGTGACCCGCCCGCAGTTACGTCCCCCACCCACGCAATCGTTTTCATTCAGCATATGACACAGCAGAGTTTTTACGAAAGGTATTTACGAGACGTAATTACCCAGTGATAGGTAAAACAGAAAGCGGTGGAGACAGGGCACGAAATAGGTGGCTGAGAGTCACCGGCTACTACTAGCCATTCGTTTTCGAAGCTAGGAACAATTTGAATACAACTCACTTTTCGGTTTTCATCCCCGGCCGTAAGCCATCTTCTTCTCAGCATCAGCTCCACAACCTAGTTAATTCTAACAGGTTATGAGCCCAAAGAACGACTCCGGTTTCAAGGTCGAGCCTTTCGACGGCTCGAACTATGGGTTGTGGAGTTACAAGATGAAGATGTACCTGATGTCGAATGGGCTGTGGGGCGCGATCGCGGGCGATGAGACAACAAGTGAGGCCAAGGAACAGCAAGCCCACGCCGCGATCGTGCTGAATCTGAGCGATTCACAGTTGATGCATGTCATCGACTCGGCCACCGCAAGAGAAGCGTGGGGACGTCTGGCGCGATTTCATCACAGTCATGACATGGCGAATCGACTTTGGCTGAAGGAAAAGTTCGCGTCGTTCAAGTATGCAGCATCAAGCATGAGCGGTCATGTGATGGAGCTGGAGGACCTCGTGATGAAGATGAAGCGCGCGAACTGCGGTCCAAGTGAAGAGGACGTGTGCGCAGTACTGTTGCGGAGTCTACCTTCAAGCTTCGAGAGCTTGGTACAGGCATTCCGCATGTCCGTCGCAAGCTTCAGTTTCAGTGACCTCGTGAGCAAGTTGATCGCCGAAGAAGTGCGCCAGAATGAGGGAGCACGAGTAGAAGATGCAACGGCGCTCTACGCAGGCAAGAGGAAGGGTAAGCAGTACCCGAAGAAGCAACAAGGACGGCGCGCGAAAGGACCATCAGGGACCTGCTACAACTGTGGCAAGGTCGGACACTACGCCAGAGATTGTCGCTCCGGTCGAGGGCCAAGGGAGCAACAGCATGACCAGTCGAATGTCGCGTTTCATGCCAGCGAAGGTTTCGCGAGCAACAGCTGGGTCATGGACAGTGGCGCGTCAGCACACATGTGCAAGGATCGAGATGCGTTCGAAGAGTACGAAGAAGTGCATCATGCGCGAAGCATTTCAAGCGCAAAGAGCGACGTGAAGCTGAATGTCATTGGACATGGGACAGTGAAGCTGCGCGTCTGGACAGGACATGCGTGGATCGACGCTCGCCTTGAGAACACACTTCACGTTCAAGATTTGTCCAAGAACCTGTTTTCGCTCACGGCTGCGGCAGCGCGCGGCATGACAGTGGAGATAACGCGCAACGAGTGCGTGGTCAAGCGTGGCGGCACACCCGTCGCAACAGGAAGGAAGCAGGGGTTCCTCCTGTATCTCAATGCTGACTATGGTACGGAGTGCCACATGGCCGAAGACGACACAGAGCTATGGCATAGAAGACTGGGTCACGTGTCGTATGGTACGCTGAATGCCATGGTCAAGGACGGAAGGATCAAGGGCGCAACGATGAAGACGAACGTTGCGTGTGACGTATGCGCAACGTCAAAGCAAGTGCGCAAGTCATTCAAGACAAGTGAAGAAGACGCTGAAACCAGGGAGAGTTCGCGTTCCGACGTGGTGGTGTGCTCCGACGTTCTCGGTCCTATCACGCCAGCGTCCAAGTCTGGTTTCAGTTACGCCGTAACCTTCATCATGATGAAGAGCAGATATGTAACGGTCTATCCGTTGCGAAAGAAGAGCGACGTTGCGAGTGCGTTCAAGCGGTTTTACCAAGATGTCAAGACAGCATCTGGAACGAAGATAAAGGTGTTGCGAAGTGACAACGGCGGCGAATACCGGAACGCAACGATGGAAAGCTTTTGCAAGGCAAAGTTCATCAAGCAAGAGTTCACGGTTCCGTACAACCCAGAGCAGAACGGGATGGCGGAGCGGATGAACCGCACGCTGGTGGAGATGACGCGCTGTATGCTAAAGGAAAGCGGTCTCGACAAGTCCTATTGGTGCGAGGCACTAATGACAGCGGCAGACATCAGAAACATTCTGCCGAACGCGTCGAACAAGAACTCAAGCCCACACGAAATGGTGTTCAAGAAGGTTCCGCGCATCGATCACATGCGCATGTTTGGTGCGCAATGCTATGCGCATGTGGCGAAGGAGAAGAGAAAGAAGCTGGACGACTCAGGCGTGCGATGTTTCTTTCTCGGCTATGAGAAGGACCAAAAGGCGTATCGGCTTCTCAACGCGGACGATGGCTCGATCGTGATTTCAAGAAGCGTCACGTTCGCTGAGCATTCTGTCACGAAAGCATCGAAAAGCAGAGACACGCAGGTCTTCGATGTCATTGAAGAAGATGAAAGTGTGGAGGCGTCGCTAACCGATGATGAAGACATACCAGCGCCGGTGACCGAAGAAGAGCTGCGCGCCCCACCACTTCGAGCGCAGAACAGCTCTCATCACGGACCAAGTGTTCGACCAAGCGACACCATTCCTACGCGTGCATCCAGCACACCCGGAAGAAATGGAGAAGAAGAGTGGATGGTGCGACCGGTTCGAAAGAAGCGCGGCGTGGTTCGCTACGAACAAGAATTTCCAAGCCATCGTCGCGGTCGCTTCAATTTGGACGACTACGAAGGTGACTTCGACTCTTTCTACTGTTTCTCGGCTGAAGAAGATGGGGAACAAGCGTCCAGCTATCGAGAAGTGATGAAGAGCGGCTACAAGGAGCAGTGGCTCCAGGCAATGAAGAGTGAGATGAAGTCGCTTGAAGAACACAGCACATGGAAGCTAATGGACATGCCACCGGGCAAGAAGGCCGTTGGCTGCAAGTGGGTCTTCAGATTAAACGCGATCCAAGTGGCGAGATCATCAAGTTCAAGGCACGCTTGGTTGCGAAAGGGTTCACGCAGCGTCCTGGCATCGACTATAACGAGACCTTCGCACCAGTGGCGCGCAAGGAATCTATCAACACAGTGTTGGCGATCGCTGCAGCCGAAGACCTGGAAGCAGAAAACGTTGATGTCGACACAGCGTTTCTCTACGGCGAAGTGGAGGAGGAGATCTACATGGACCAACCTGACGGTTTTGAAGATGAAGGAAGCCCGAATAAGAAGTGTTTGCTGCAGAAGGCGCTATACGGGACGAAGCAAGCGGCGCGGCAGTGGAACAACAAGTTGAGTCAGCACTTGGTTGATCAAGGATTCAAGAGCAGTACAGCGGACCCGTGTGTGTTCGTTCGAGTGACAAGAGAGGAGTACAGCATCATCGTGATCTACGTGGACGACTTGATGATTTTCTGCAAGACGAAGGAGCACATCGCAAGTATCAAGAACTCATTGATGGAAGATTTCAGCATTAAAGATCTTGGAGATCTCAAGTACTGCCTCGGGATCGAGATTCATCGCAAGCGCGAAGATGGAACGATCAAGATGAACCAGAAGGCGTACATCAAGCGACTTTCGGAGAAGTTCGGCGTTGAGAACTGCAAGGACATGCACACGCCGGCGGACAGTAATTCGAAGCTGATCAAGATGGGTCAAGAGGAAGCGTTTGTACCAAAGTACCCATACCGTGAGCTGGTGGGCGCTTTAATGTACATCGCCACATGTACACGACCGGACATCGCGCATGCAGTTGGCGAAGTTGCGAAGTTTTGCGAGCGCTACGACAAGTCGCATTGGACAGCAGCAAAGCGGATTCTCAAGTATCTCAAGACGACTCAAGACTTAAGCATCGTGTTCAGCGGCATCAACAAGGGGAGAGCTTATTGGATTTGCAGATGCAAACTGGGCTGGCGACCTCGACACGCGGCGTTCGACAACAGGATACGTTTTCTTCCTGAACGGAAGCGTGATATCGTGGAATTCGAAGCGTCAACCAACGGTCGCGACCTCAAGTACGGAAGCAGAGTACATGAGTCTGTACAGCGCGACGCAGGAAGCAATTTGGCTTCGAGGTCTGCTCAAGGACCTGAACTACTGTGCCAAGAACGCGACGACGATTTTTCAAGACAATCAAGGTTGCATCGCGCTGGCCAAGAATCCTGTGTACCACTCGCGCACGAAGCACATCGACATCAAGTTTCACTTTTTGCGTGAAAAGGTTGCAAGTGCAGTTATCGCGCTAGAGTTCAAGCCGACAGAAGAAATGGTCGCGGATGGATTCACCAAAGCACTTCCAAGAGACAAGCACAGCAAGTTCATCACGGGTCTGTGCATGGCGGTGTAGGGGTCACACGTCGCACGCACATCAAGGGAGAGTGTTAGCGAGTGATGATGCGGCGACTTGTGCAGGGTGTATATTGCATATTTGCATTAGTTGTATTGTTCTTTGGCAGGTTTATATTGTGGGATGTTAGCGAAACGACAAGTCATCGGATTGGCTCAGTCGTTTGGGAAGGGGGATTCCACGCGGGTGAGTGCGGGTTCGATCCCCGCCGTGTACAAGTTAATTGTGACTGACACTCACGACCTGGTGTTTGGGGTTCACCAGAACTGTGACCCGCCCGCAGTTACGTCCCCCACCCACGCAATCGTTTTCATTCAGCATATGACACAGCAGAGTTTTTACGAAAGGTATTTACGAGACGTAATTACCCAGTGATAGGTAAAACAGAAAGCGGTGGAGACAGGGCACGAAATAGGTGGCTGAGAGTCACCGGCTACTACTAGCCAATCGTTTTCGAAGCTAGGAACAATTTGAATACAACTCACTTTTCGGTTTTCATCCCCGGCCGTAAGCCATCTTCTTCTCAGCATCAGCTCCACAACCTAGTTAATTCTAACAACTTCGGCGATGGACAAACCGAGTGCACTATGGGTGTGGTGTTTCCGCCTCGTGAATAGGCTGTAGTACTCTGAGACCGTATGGCAGCTTTCGTAGTGTTTGCGTCCGAAGTAGCATCGATATGGATACGAAATACGCAACGCGAATGTGACCTGAAAGGAGTATGGTGGATTCAAGCATCCATGATTTGTTTGTATCGTGCATCCATCAGCAGCATTGTGCGATCATTACGGTGATGTGTTTGAGTGCTGCTGATTGATAGCGAGTGTTTGCATGTGTTCGTGTGTCAACTGGTCAGATTTACCACATAGTCTAGGCGGTTAGGATAGCTGTCTCTCACCCATCAGAACACCCGAGTTCGAGTACTGGTGTGGGAACATCTTTGCTTGCATGACACCGTTTATCTTTCTAGCTGTGGACTTGATGAAATAGAAGTACGACAACGTGATTCGGTGACTACTTCGTACTGGGAAGCTATGTTCATCAGCATCTTCGTCGATGCATCATGCGATGATCGTGTAACACTCAAGCTAGCATGCGACTTCTGCGATGGACAAACCGAGTGCACTATGGGTGTGGTATTTCCGCCTCGTGAATAGGCTGTCGTACCCTGAGACCGTATGGCAGCTTTCGTAGTGTTTGCGTCCGAAGTAGCATCGATATGGATACGAAATACGCAACGCGAATGTGACCTGAAAAGGAGTATGGTGGATTCAAGCATCCATGATTTGTTTGTATCGTGCATCCATCAGCAGCATTGTGCGATCAGTACGGTGATGTGTTTGAGTGCTGCTGCTTGATAGCGAGTGTTTGTATGTGTTCGTGTGTCAACTGGTCAGATTTACCACATAGTCTAGGCGGTTAGGATAGCTGTCTCTCACCCATCAGAACACCCGAGTTCGAGTACTGGTGTGGGAACATCTTTGCTTGCATGACACCGTTTATCTTTCTAGCTGTGGACTTGATGAAATAGAAGTACGACAACGAGATTCGGTGACCACTTCGTACTGGGAAGCTATGTTCATCAGCATCTTCGTCGATACATAATGCGATCATCGTAACACTCAAGCTAGCATGCGACTTCTGCGATGGACAAACCGAGTGCACTATGGGTGTGGTGTTTCCGCCTCGTGAATAGGCTGTCGTACTCTGAGACCGTATGGCAGCTTTCGTAGTGTTTGCGTCCGAAGTAGCATCGATATGGATACGAAATACGCAACGCGAATGTGACCTGAAAAGGAGTATGGTGGATTCAAGCATCCATGATTTGTTTGTATCGTGCATCCATCAGCAGCATTGTGCGATCAGTACGGTGATGTGTTTGAGTGCTGCTGCTTGATAGCGAGTGTTTGTACGCGTTCGTGTGTCAACTGGTCAGCTTTCCCATATAGTCTAGGCGGTTAGGATAGCTGGCTCTCACCCAGCAGACCCGGGTTCGAGTACTGGTGTGGGAACATCTTTGCTTGCATGACACCGTTCATCTTTCTAGCTGTGGACTTGATGAAATAGAAGTACGACAACGTGATTCGGTGACCACTTCGTACTGGGAAGCTATGTTCATCAGCATCTTCGTCGGTACATCATGCGATGATCGTGTAACACTCAAGCTAGCATGCGACTTCTGCGATGGACAAACCGAGTGCACTATGGGTGTGGTGTTTCCGCCTCGTGAATAGGCTGTCGTACTCTGAGACCGTATGGCAGCTTTCGTAGTGTTTGCGTCCGAAGTAGCATCGATATGGATACGAAATACGCAACGCGAATGTGACCTGAAAACGAGTATGGTGGATTCAAGCATCCATGATTTGTTTGTATCGTGCATCCATCAGCAGCATTGTGCGATCAATACGGTGATGTGTTTGAGTGCTGCTGCTTGATAGCGAGTGTTTGCATGTGTTCGTGTGTCAACTGGTCACCTTTCCCACATAGTCTAGGCGGTTAGGATACGTGGCTTTCACCCACGCGACCCGGGTTCGAGTTCCGGTTTGGGAACATCTTTGCTTGCATGACACCGTTCTTCTTTCTAGCTGTGGACTTGATGAAATAGAAGTACGACAACGTGATTCGGTGACCACTTCGTACTGGGAAGCTATGTTCATCAGCATCTTCGTCGGTACATCATGCGATGATCGTGTAACACTCAAGCTAGCATGCGACTTCTGCGATGGACAAACCGAGTGCACTATGGGTGTGGTGTTTCCGCCTCGTGAATAGGCTGTCGTACCCTGAGACCGTATGGCAGCTTTCGTAGTGTTTGCGTCCGAAGTAGCATCGATATGGATACGAAATACGCAACGCGAATGTGAACTGAAAAGGAGTATGGTGGATTCAAGCATCCATGATTTGTTTGTATCGTGCATCCATCAGCAGCATTGTGCGATCAGTACGTTGATGTGTTTGAGTGCTGCTGCTTGATAGCGAGTGTTTGTATGTGTTCGTGTGTCAACTGGTCAGCTTTCCCACATAGTCTAGGCGGTTAGGATAGCTGTCTCTCACCCATCAGAACACCCGGGTTCGAGTACTGGTGTGGGAACATCTTTGCTTGCATGACACCGTTCATCTTTCTAGCTGTGGACTTGATGAAATAGAAGTACGACAACGTGATTCGGTGACCACTTCGTACTGGGAAGCTATGTTCATCAGCATCTTCGTCGGTACATCATGCGATGATCGTGTAACACTCAAGCTAGCATGCGACTTCGGCGAAGGACAAACCGAGTGCACTATGGGTGTGGTGTTTCCGCCTCGTGAATAGGCTGTCGTACTCTGAGACCGTATGGCAGCTTTCGTAGTGTTTGCGTCCGAAGTAGCATCGATATGGATACGAAATACGCAACGCGAATGTGACCTGAAAAGGAGTATGGTGGATTCAAGCATCCATGATTTGTTTGTATCGTGCATCCATCAGGAGCATTGTGCGATCAATACGGTGATGTGTTTGAGTGCTGCTGCTTGATAGCGAGTGTTTGTACGCGTTCGTGTGTCAACTGGTCACCTTTCCCATATAGTCTAGGCGGTTAGGATAGCTGGCTCTCACCCAGCAGACCCGGGTTCGAGTACTGGTGTGGGAACATCTTTGCTTGCATGATACCGTTCTTCTTTCTAGCTGCAGTCTTGATGAAATAGAAGTACGACAACGAGATTCGGTGACTACTTCGTACCGGGAAGCTATGTTCATCAGCGTCTTCGTTGATACATCATGCGATGATCGTGTAACACTCAAGCTGGCATGCGACTTCGGCGATGGACAAACCGAGTGCACTATGGGTGTGGTGTTTCCGCCTCGTGAACAGGCTGTCGTACGCTGGGACCGTATGGCAGCTTTCGCAGCGTTTGCGTCTGAAGTAGCATCGATATGGATACGAAATACGCAACGCGAATGTGACCTGAAAAGGAGTATGGTGGATTCAAGCATCCATGATTTGTTTGTATCGTGCATCCATCAGGAGCATTGTGCGATCAGTACGGTGATGTGTTTGAGTGCTGCTGCTTGATAGCGAGTGTTTGTATGTGTTCGTGTGTCAACTGGTCCGATTTACCACATAGTCTAGGCGGTTAGGTAGCTGGCTCTCACCCAGCAGACCCGCGTTCGAGTCCCGGTGTGGGAACATCTTTGCTTGCATGATACCGTTCTTCTTTCTAGCTGCAGTCTTGATGAAACAGAAGTACGACAACGTGATTCGGTGACCACTTCGTACTGGGAAGCTATGTTCATCAGCATCTTCGTCGGTACATCATGCGATGATCGTGTAACACTCAAGCTAGCATGCGACTTCTGCGATGGACAAACCGAGTGCACTATGGGTGTGGTGTTTCCGCCTCGTGAATAGGCTGTCGTACCCTGAGACCGTATGGCAGCTTTCGTAGTGTTTGCGTCCGAAGTAGCATCGATATGGATACGAAATACGCAACGCGAATGTGACCTGAAAAGGAGTATGGTGGATTCAAGCATCCATGATTTGTTTGTATCGTGCATCCATCAGCAGCATTGTGCGATCATTACGGTGATGTGTTTGAGTGCTGCTGCTTGATAGCGAGTGTACGCGTTCGTGTGTCAACTGGTCAGCTTTCCCAAATAGTCTAGGCGGTTAGGATACGTGGCTTTCACCCACGCGACCCGGGTTCGAGTCCTGGTTTGGGAACATCTTTGCTTGCATGATACCGTTCATCTTTCTAGCTGTGGACTTGATGAAATAGAAGTACGACAACGTGATTCGGTGACCACTTCGTACTGGGAAGCGATGTTCATCAGCATCTTCGTCAGTACATAATGCGATGATCGTGTAACACTCAAGCTAGCATGCGACTTCTGCGATGGACAAACCGAGTGCACTATGGGTGTGGTGTTTCCGCCTCGTGAATAGGCTGTCGTACTCTGAGACCGTATGGCAGCTTTCGTAGTGTTTGCGTCCGAAGTAGCATCGATATGGATACGAAATACG